TCGGGCCACACAGGTCCGAATGTATGAGCTCAAGCATATCAGATGTACGGGTATTTGATGGTCTATATGGCTTCCGAGACATTTTGCCTTTAAGACATGAAACACAATTCTCATTGGGCGACATTTTAAATTGAATTCCATTTACAAGCTCCTTGGTCTTGTTCATGTCTGCATAATTCAGATGACCCATTCTAGAATGCCATATAACATGATCTGTGATAGCTGCCATGCACTTCTGTTCAGTGTTTCCATCTAATTTAAACATGTTATTCTCAAGTGTGGCAGTGGCTATCACTTTTCTGCCTCTTTTCATCATACACTTGTCATTCTGGAACTGAACTGTATAACCTCTGCTTATAATTTGGCTAACTGAAAGCAGGTTCACTGACAGATTCGGTACATAAAGGACGTCGTAAAAAGTTATGTCCATCTTTTTCCCATTCACAAAGAGTTTGAACTTTATGTCACCAATACCTTCAACAGACAGTTTCTCTTTGTTGGACACGAAAATTTCCTTCACAGTAGATTGCCGAATATCACTGAACCACTCTTTCCGCATACACATGTGCAAACTCGCTCCAGAATCAATGAACCACTCTTTGTCATTGGTTGCTTTGGCCACATACACTGTGCAAAAACCACTCTCCTTTTTGTCTGGTTGTTTTTTACTGTGACAATCCGCTGCAATGTGACCAATGCGGTTACAATTAAAACATCGCATTCTTTTCTTTTGTTGCTTCTTCCTTGTAAAAAACGCCGCATCACCGCTCTCGTTGGCCTTTTTAACATCTTGAAGTAGTTTGGTCTTGATGGAGTCGCAAGTAATTTTAACACCGGAACTTTCGATACCCATTATCATCGGTGCGTACTCCTCAGGCAGCCCTGCTAAAAGTAGTGTTCCTATCCATTCATCACTCACGGGCATGTCAACTTCTTTCAACTTATGCGCCGTAGATACGATTTGACTTACGTACTCCTCAACACTTGCGCATGTTGCAAAATTTGTTGTAATGAGCTGACGCAACAACCCAACTCTACGCGTAAGTCCAGAATCTTGGAAGGCAGACTTCAGCTTGTCCCATACCTCTTTTGATGTCTCGGCATCCTCAATATGAACATAGTTCACCTTGTCCACCAACAAAATGATTTTTGTTTTCGCCTTCATATCCACTTTTGGATTTAAACCAGTTGCCGGGTAACTACCTTGGACGGTTTCCCACAATTCTTCATGCTGTAGCAGATTTTTTACAGCGAACGCCCACGTTGTGTAGTTTTCTCTCCCGAGCAACTTTTCAATCACGAAATTCGTTGAAGCCGACATTATTTTTTAAACAAACTTTCTTCTCAACAATGTGCAGTCTAAGATAAATTGATCTCACAGACTCTGGGCCCATAACCTGTTGTGATGGCGAAAATAAAACTCAGATACAATTTATCTTAGACAGAAGAGATCTTTATTTCACAGAGGTTATAACGAGAAGAAGAAAGTAGTGGATGTAAAAAAGGAACATAAAAATACAGTGTTGCATTTCTCGCATATCAGAAAATGCAACCTTCAGGATATCTCAACAGTATTGCCAGATTTTCATATCAACAGAATTAAATCAAAAAAAATTGTTGACCCCGAGAATGGGGGGTCCCCTTAAGTCAATATCATATCGAAGTTACCGTGTAATATTTACGGAAAGCGCAAACGAACACGCCTAATATTTACGCAATGACGAATTCATTGTTCGTACAAATATCACCGATTTTCGACTTTATATTATATAATATACAATATTGTACTTAACTTTTTGGATCAATGTTGCAAGCCAATAGTATCCATAATATGGGTTGCTGAATAATGCCACGCCATCCGTTTACTTGCCATACAAGGCGCCAACATTTTCGTTGTAGAAAAATGATTATTAACACCAGTATCACTAAGAACTCATAAAGCGGCATGATCACGTTTTAATTGTACGCAGCGGCAATACATATCGATTTTAAAATTGTAATTTGTATTTGTTATGGGCACCTGTATCGGTGATGAGTTTGTTTATTGTTTAATATTTGCAAATTGTATTTTTTTTTTTTTCTCAAAAAATTGGTTCTAATGCAAAGCGGTAAGATGTTAACACTTAAGAGGGATGCGATGAAATGTTTTGTCGTAGCTTGCAGTGAGCGTCTTTTATAGTTCTGATTTCAAATACGTTTTTTTTATTTTTTTACCCACCTTTATAAGGTATTGACTTTTTTTGCAATGGGTGATTCAATAAAGAAAAATCGTCATGCAAAAAAAAATAATTTTCAAATTTTCATTCATGGCCAAAAGATGGAAATGCACGAAGAACTTGTAAGAGCTTAGATACGAAGCTGTAAAATAGATTCCGATACATAACTGGATCTCGGAACCTATATTATTATTGCAGTAAGCAGTTCAAAAGTTTTAATGCATATACATAACTGCATATTTTACAACTGTGAAGGACTTGATTGTAATTAAAGGGACCCCCCCTTATTCTAGGGGTCCATTTTTTTTATTTAATTCGAATCTAATCTAATTCAAGAATGTCCCTACAAAATTTCAAGTGAAAATCTCAAGAACTCTTGAATATATAACCGATTTATTGTGTCAGAATCAAGCGACGGCTGAAGAGCTTCTCAAACTTTAAACGCGTTTTTCTCCAAACATCGTTTTGCGAATGGCGGGAACGATAACTCAAAAACTAATAACCCAATCGATTCCAAATTATTGCACGTTTCTCTGTGAGTGTATAGCTATCGTATGAACTAGGATAAAGCTAATCGGTGAAGATCTTCCTTATTTTTTTATCTTGCTTTTTGGTCAAAAATCCGCGATTTTCAAAAAAATTAACGAAATAAAAGAAATTGAATTTGAAGGAAATTCGCAGATTATAAAATAAACCTCTGAAATCTCTATCACTTGTTTTAATTATCCAATACGATGAATAATGAAAATAAAGGAAATTTTAAAAACAACAAGCAAAAATATCCTTCGGAGCTTTATAATATTACAAAAATTTCTATTGTAGAAGATATGTGATTTTTTTTTTTTTTTGAATTTTTATTCACACACATTTTCCACAATTATCTGCAGCCGAATCACAATTCATGATATGCAGCACTGGTTTTTCACCCATTGATACCACAAAAGTTCATCGAGCTTCAGCATTTGCAGGAAGGAATTAATTTAGGTTTTAGGATTTATTAGGTTTCTTTGCAGTTGACAGATACAGACAGCGTGTTGAGGATCTCGATGGAGCATTTTGCAAAGCTCGAACAGTAACGGCGAAGAAGATACTTCAGAAAAATAAGATATGGCGGTAAAATTTGTATACTGCTGAATTTGTTAATCTGCTGAAGAATAATAAAGCATCATGTGCCGATGTATTACCAGACGAACTATTCTAGGCCGGTGGCCAGACGCTATTCAGAAGCATAAACCAACTGATTAGTACAATTTGGCTAGATGAATGCATGCCCAATGATTGGAACCTCAGCACAGAAATGGAGACAAGACGATATGTGTCAACTATATAGGAATTAGTCTACTTCCGATCGCATATAAAGTTAACGACTGAAGTCAATGGTCAATGACATTATTGAACCATACAAATGCGGCTTCAGACCTAGCAAATCCACCTAGACCAGATTTTCACACTGCGCCAAATCCTAAAAAAGACCCACGAAAAACACATCGAAACATGCCACCTGTTCGTCGACTATAAAGCAGCATTCGACAGCTCAATCCGCACAATGGAATTTAATGCGTTCGGCATTCCTACAAAATAAATACGGCTATGCAGGATAACTTTGACTGACACAAGGTCAGCAGTTAAAGTCGGAAAGTACCTCTCGAAGCCCTGCAATCCCAAACGAAGATTCAGCCAAGGTGACAGTTTGTCGTGTGACCTTTTTAGCATCCTGCTGGAAAAGATCATAGGGATCTAAATCGTCGTAATTGTTCGAACATAACGAGCGGTAATATCCACATTTGAACGAATTGAAAAGGAGCATACCAAAGTGGGACGGGTAGTAAATGGCGAGAAGACCAAGCTGATGGTACCAACGCGCAAGACGTTCAGTATACTCGGACCAACTGTGGAGCTTAAAAACTACAAGTTCGAGGTAGTAAACGATTTTATATACCTCGATACCGCCATAAAAAACTAATAACATCAGCTTTGAAATCTGGAGAAGAATAGTGTTGGCCAACAGATGCTTCTATGGTCTGACTAAGCAACTCAAAAGAAAGGCCACCTCTCGCCAGAACAAACTCACACTCCGCAAGACGGTGATACAAACCGTGCAGTTGCATGGATCTGAAGCATGGGTTCTTGCGCAAGTAGATGAGGCAGATCTTGGAGTATTACAGAGAAATTTTCTCCGGAAGATCTATGAGCCGATCTGTGTCGACGGTGAATATTGTCGTCGAATGAGCTATACCATCTATTCTCGGATGGATCGAGCTGCAGCAACCAAGTGATGGTTCACGCAGAAGGGAAAGGCCACGAAATAGATGGAAAATCAAGTATAAGACATATCGGAACATGGTATTTCAAATTAGACGCTCTAGGAAATCTTTTTAAGCTCCAACCAGCTAAGTAAGCGTTATGTGTTATCGAAAATACAACAACCACAAGGAAGCGATAACAAAAACGCTCGAAGTTGATGTGCGCTGCGCTTCGGAGTTAAATATATTTTAACTTTTTGCGTGCGTTAACGCGATAACAAAAAACGCTCAACGCGAACATTCTTCATAGACCTTTAAAGTTTCTGCACAATGATCGCGTTGCGCATTTTTTTATCGTGTTAACGCACACAACGCATTTCGACTTTTCCATACAAAACGTCAATTAATCGATTATTCGAAAGTAGATTTACTTATCCCTAATTTGCACTTTTAGTGTGAAAAAAAACAGTTCAGTCGTTCCTTTAAGTGAACCACTTAAACTGAACTACAAACATTTTATTTTGTAAACCAACCCCGAACTATGTCTCGCGAGGAAAAACAACTGGAAATGACCCTGGATGCGGTTCAAAATCGCTTGAACGATTTGAAGGTTTCCATAGGAGCCATGGTACATAAATTGGAAACTGAATATGAATTTATCAACTGGCCTACTTTCCTGGATAATTTCGCTCTCATATCGAGCCATGTAAGTTATTCCTTACTGACGTCTATTCAGTAAAAAGAGTATTTGAATTGAATTAATTTTTCCTAGCTCACTGGCCTTTCGAAAATCCTGTCGAAAGAAATATGCCCTCCACTACGCAATCGAACCGTACTTCCCTTAATGCTGTCCCCCGAAAGGGACGAGGCTCTTATCCAATTAACACAAGGTCGTGTGCCAGTCTTCTCACACGATATTGTGCCGGATTATTTGCGTACCAAACCGGAACCAATGGCCGAACAAAAAATGTTGCAAAATGAACAGAAGGCAGCAAATTTGTCGGCTGAAGCAGCGGCCAAACAAGTGGCCCAGCACAATAAGGTAGTCTCACACATACTAGATATGGTGAGTAAAAAACGCGAAGAATGGGACATTGAGTCATCATCCAGGGCTGGCATACAACAAACTAGCAGTATGGCTGATACTAATACCCTAGTGGCTGCAGTTGGTATGGGTAAGGGCTTGAAAATGGTTGTGCCCGGTGGCGGTCCTGGTAGTATGATGGTACCGCCGGCAATTCGTCCACCAGCACCGATGAGTTCCGTTAGTCCTGGTGGTGTAAGTCAATTGGGTAAAGCACCATCGGCCATAAAGACAAATATAAAATCTGCCATGCAAGTTCATCCGTTTCAAAGATAAAACAAAATGTTTCCGATAATATTTGTAGTGTAGTTTTAAGAGAATAAATGCGTAGTTGTAAATTGAAAAATGAAATATGTGTTATTAATACTATCGGTTTGTTATAAAAACTGTTATAAATATTATTCAAAAATGATTTTTATAGAAAAAAACTCTCAAATACATGCGTGGACAGGTTAACCCTGACATTAATTCATTAATTGTGCTTTGTTTCCACGTTAAATTTTAATCCTGGAAAATTAGACTATCTAAAAAAACTACCAACTGTTTATTCTAAAATAGGAACTCGACCTGTAATTTGGAGCGAACCAATGTTATGTCTCACAGCGTACAAACGGCTATTTCTGTTTATGAATTAACAACAAAGTTTTGATTTTTTTATAAAACAATATAGTAAAAAATATATATTTATAAACATAAAAACTTGCCAACAATTTAATAAATTTCTAATCCATACCATCACCATTTGTTGGCACTACAGTTTTCCATTCATTGGGATTTACAAATATATCTGAAATTGTTCCACGTAATGTAAATATGCCACGATTCAATGGTACGGGCTTTGGTTTCTTGGCAGCATCCGCTAACCATTTCTCCCATGCTTCTGCGGCTGCTTTACGACGTTGTTCTTCCAGTTCCCTACGCTTCTGTTCTTCTTGTTGTTTTCGTATACGGCGACGTTCTTCCTGTAAACGTTTCGTTCGCTCCCATTCATCTAAATGAGTTTTATCTTGACCATTGTTTATGTTTGAACGTAACGATTTTTCGGAAGTATTCGAAATAGATGTTTGGCTTTTCAAAATTAATTTTGAATTGGAAACGTTAATACTATGTTGGGACAGTTGTTGTTGTTGCTTTTGTTGTTTGCTTTTATTTTCTAGCCATTTTTCATATTTTTCTTTTGATATACGTTTACGTTCTTCCAATTCCTGTCGTTTTCGTTCTGCTTCTTCCCGGCGACGGGCAGCCTCAATGGAATGAAGTTTTCTGCAACATATGTAAAGAAATATTTTGTTATTTTAGTTAATGCCTCAATTTTCTAATACAACAATTTTGGTATATTAATTGTGCAATTGACACGGAATTTTGCATAGATTATAAAATTGAGTCCAAAATTACAACATAGGTCGCTTATATAATTAATTCCGATTACATGTATATAGTGCAAATAATACATGTGCTATATCTATTTTTGAACCGACAAAACTTGTCATTTTAGCCTTAATCTGATATGTTAGGAAAAATGTCCTCCCAGTTATTATTGTTTTTATTACCTTTTTGCTGATAACCACGTTTCATAAGCCAATTCTGGTTGTCGATGTATTTTAACTGAATAGGTCATATCATCACTGGCTGTTGGATAATTCTCTTCCGATTGTAAATCTAATGGTGGTACAATGTCACCCGGTGTCTCAGTTATTGTCCTTTTAAATTCCTCAGCTGTATAATTATCACACTCCTGTGGACAATTATTTTCAGAATTCGATATTAATTGGTTACAGGAATATGTGGGGTTCCTGTAAGAGCAAACATGAACAAATGTTCTCGATTAAATCACTACATACCGAAAACTAAACGTTGGTTCACAACTACGACTACTCAGATTCCATTCATTAGAGTTTTGATCCGATGGCCAAGAATTTAAACTTATCGTAGATGCACATCTTATCATTGTGCTGTTAACTGGTCGTGGTGTATAGAATGGCATATTGTTGTTAGCTGTAGTTGTAATTGTTTATGAAATATATGCGAAAGAATTTGATTTTTTTTAATTGTTTAATTGACGTTTTTTTAATTAAAAAATCAAAATAAAAAAGCACACATGAAACACAGTATATGTAGATACTGTATAATTCCATTTTATTTATTCAGAGTCAAGAGGTGCTATTTTATCGGTTTGGATTGCCGTAAGTGTGACTTTAATATCCGACTGATGTGGAAAACACTTTTAGTAAATATTATCAAAACAACCATAAATATACCCTATCGTATTGTTGAAATAGAGCTTAGGCATTTTTGTGATTGCAAATGAGATTAATCGGTATAATTGGTCGAGCCCCCGTATTTCCATGTTTTAAGCTGTTAGCCACTTCTTTCCATCCGAAGGAGCTGCTATTCGACATTTCAAAATATCGAAAACAAAACTTTGTCGATCAATATGGGTCAATGATTTGACACATATAAACATCTCGTTCCCACTCGATTTTAGGTATATTGATGGTCCTGCACAAATTTTCTATTCATAGTGGTAGTAATTTGGCCTCCAAGTTCCGGTTATGTAGGAAACTTCTTCCTTATACATAAATGCCTACCCATTTTAGGCATTTTCTTGTTGTTTTTAATGGTAAAAAAAGCTTTTGGCAGAACCTTTTTATTGTAGGTCAATGTCTTGGAATAGCTATTACAATGCAGGTCGTCACTGTTTTATGATGTAAAATTATGGTTATCATACCCAACACACCTACCACTGGACTAGATGTAGTCGAAGGATATTGCATGGGTGTTATAGAAGTAGCTATCCAAACCTGAATAATCCGGAAGGTGAAGTCGCCTCCGAATTAATAGCACGTTGGGCAATATCTGCCCAGCATGTGGTAATGGTCCACATGACACCCCTTCAACTGTCCAGCCAAACTCATACACCTAACCCCACTTTGGACACCATTGGTCCAGGTTGCAGCCTTTTAAACTTGACTTTTAATTTCTGTGGGAAGTTAAGTCCAGACGATGTGTAGACATTAACATCATACATTTGATCTTAATGCAAAATATTGACCGATCATCATGAATTGTTGATCATACTATTTCATCTGTGCATTGTAAATAATCATCTAACCCGAACGGAATTTTAATGCGTAATTGCGTAGATCGGCCCATAAATCCGGCTGTACTTTTATAATGTACTGTGCTAGTAATGACCAAACGGACACACATAGCTAGATTATTCGCTTTAGTACTTTTGTCCACAAACAATGCTAAGCATAAACTCTGTTAAATTCTACCATCAAAGTTATAAACGTTAGAATTTTTTTCAAAATTCCGCAAATAATATTCTAATTAAAAGAAAATTTGTCGAGTATCCGTAGTTTCCATCTATGGACAGATAGAAGAACCCACAAATACATATAATTAAAAGAAGAGTCTCAGGAAATATTGATTTTTCTGATAATTAGGTTTTTGAAACTTTTATTTCAGCCGCTTTTAATTTAAACCCATCTTGTTTTTAAGAATTTTAAAGGGTCTCGCGGAATTTATGATGCGAAAATTACATTTAATCAGAAATTTCAAACTTGTTTTAAATTGTTGAAATTCGATTTTATTACATATCTATCTACAACACAAACTTGCAAAATAACTAAAATTACCTCCCTTAAATATTAATAAAACAACAAAAACTAAAATGTATTGTTTTTATTAGTAATTTTTACATAAAATCATATATTTGTTAACATTTTTAGTAAAGTAATACTTATGCAGACAGTTAAAACATATAATAATCTTTAAAATTCCTGTGAACTTGGACACCTCCCCCTCTTAATATAAAATGTAACTTAAGTTCTGTTTCAAACAGCCATCTCCATATGTATCTTTGGATACGGATTATAGTCAACAATTTCAAAATCATCAAACTTAAAATCCTCAATGTCCTCCACTTGACGTTTGATTATTAATTTTGGAAATTTACGTGGTTTACGTTTCAATTGTTCATTTAACGGTTCAATGTGATTCAAATAGACATGTGTATCGCCCAATGAGTGGACAAAATCACCCGGCTTAAGTCCTGTAATGTGAGCAATCATATACGTTAACAAAGCATACGAAGCAATATTAAATGGTACACCCAAGCCCATGTCGGCGCTACGTTGAAACAATTGGCATGACAATTCTCCATTTGCAACATAAAATTGTGCCAAACAGTGGCATGGTGGCAATGCCATTAGGGGTATATCACTGGGATTCCAGGCGGACATTATAATACGCCTGTTATCGGGGTCAGTGCGTATTGTGTGGATAACATTTTTCAGTTGATCAATACCCTCACCGGTGTAATCATCATCGCATGTACGATATTTAGCTCCAAAATGACGCCACTGGAAGCCATACACAGGACCCAAGTCACCTTCCTTACGGTCGGTAAAACCAAGTTTGTCCAAAAACTCTCGTGTACTGTTGCCATCCCAAATGTGAATATTTTTATCCTGCAACACTTTGGCATTGGTGCAACCACGTATGAACCACAAAAGTTCTTCGGCCACGGCTCTCCAAAATACTCGTTTGGTTGTCAATAGGGGGAAACAATTTCGCATATCGAATCGCATTTGGGCACCGAAAATGGACACAGTGCCAACACCGGTGCGATCGTCCTTTTTGGCTCCTACGAACGAGGAATTTATGAGAAAATAAAAAGGATGCACATGGGCACTTGCCAATTACCTGTTCTTATTATCCTGTCTATTAAATCTAAATATTGTTGTTCATCCTTATTCTCATGGTCCTCTTCAGCCTTTGAATGACCATTTGTTGAGGAACAATCATTTTTCGGACCACTCGGTGTGCCGCAACCATTTAATTGTCCTCCATTGGTGGTATTTTTAAGAGTTTCACACGTCTGCATATTTGTATCCACGTCCATCGTATCTACGTTTAATGTTTGTGCGTATATGAAAAAAAAATGTATTAATGAGCAAGCGATGAGTTTTGGCGGCAAACATACATGTAGTCGATTTGTCAAAATTCGGTTAACTGAGTGCAAAAAGTAATTGATATCTATAAATGCAGAGATGTCGAATCAGCAGCATCCTGGTCAACAGAATGTTTTGAAAAATTTTCTAAGCCAACATTAAATTGTTTTCAATAAATTTTAGATTCCTACACAATACAATGTACACTAATCAATTTCGTATAAATTGTTAATTATGACGAAGTGTCGGGTTCATCTGAAATGTTTATCATAATTAGATTTCAAACACGTTAATAACATTTATTTGCAAGAGATAGATGGATTGGCACCCATAAACCGGATTTTTAAAAATAAAAAAACTATTTCTGTAATGGTTTTAATCAACCGATGGAATTAGCAAAGTCGTTAGCATTCCAATGATATACAAATATATTTAATCGGTTGACTAAAACCGGTACAAAAATCGAATTAAAATATAGTTCAAAAACATATGGATCCCGATCCGTCTCTCGCATACAAATATTATTAACGAGTTCCTCATAATGATATCTATTAATGTTAAATATTTCAGTCGAATCCTCCGATTCTTCATAATTTAGAATTTATTCGATATTTTTTGTGCACATAGATATGTATAAGAATTTCTGAGCAAGGATCTGTTAAAATTGGAAAAGCACGGTAAATACATAGAAATATAGATTTCCTGTATTTGCGGACCCTATCTCAAATCTTATGAGCGACATATCTGTATAAAATTAGGAGGTCAAAGAATTTCTTTGTGTTGAATTTAGTTTATTTAGGTTGAATCAAATAACTACGAAAAAACGCACAAGGATTCGAGATAGAAGAAGAATATGATTCAAAAAAAGAATCCTCATTTGATTTGAATGAACATGAAAACAGCCTGCAATACAAATATATAAAGGTTTTTCTTCATGAACTTTGGAATTACCAACAAAATATTCAACTCCAAAACTTGAACTATGTCAACCCTTAAATTTACGGTATTTTGGGGCTCTTGAGCGGGTTTTCAACCGAATATTCCCCCTCTTTATGGGGTAGTCCCCATATAACCCCCTTTTTATACCCTCCACCATAGTATGGAGGGTATATTAATTTTGTCATTCCGTTTGTAACTCCTCGATATATTCATTTCCGACCCTATAAAGTATATATATTCATGATCAGGGTAAAATTCTAAGACGATCTAGCCATGTCCGTCCGTCTGTTGTAATCACGCTATCTTCTGAAGGAATTGAGATAGAGTGCTGAAATTTTGCATAGGGTTGTCTTTTGTCTGCAGGCAGGTCAAGTTCGAAGATGGGATATATCGGTCCACGTTTAGGCATAGCTCCCATATAAGGGTACCCGGCAAATTTCGGTATTTTAGGGTTCTTGAGCGCCTTTTTCAGCCGAATTCGCTGAAATTTGGTACATTGGGTTCTTATTGGATACTAAATGTCTCCACAAAAAATTATAAGTATAGGTCCATATTTTCTGGTAGCCCCCATATAACGGAACCTCCTAATTTTCAGTATTTTGGGGGTTTTGGTCGTATTTTTCCGCCGAATTGGCTGTAATTTAGTGTTTTGAGTTCTTAATAGGTACCAAACCTCTCTAAAAAATTATGTATATAGGTCAATTTTTTCGGGTAGCCCCCATATAAGGGTACCCCCCAATTTTCGGTATTTTAGGGTTCTTGAGCACGTTTTTCGCTGAACTTTGCTACATTGGGTTCTTATTGGGTCCTTAATGTCTCCACAAAAAATTATAAATATAGGTCCACTTTTTCTGGTAGCTCCTATATAATGGTACTTCCCAATTTTTAGAATTTTGGGGGTTTTGATCGTATTTTTCCGCCGAATTAGCTGTAATTTAGTATTTTGAGTTCTTAATAGGTACCAAATCTCTCTACCAAAAATTATTAATATTCGCCCCCTTTTTGGGGTAGTCCCCATATAACCCCCTTTTTTTATATTAATATAGTTATCTGATATGTTCCGCGTTTTGAGTTTGGTTCTAAGACTCTAGTGTAATCATTTCACCTGCAGAGGATAGCGAGGTAAAAAATTAGAACGTAAGGTTCGATAATGAACTATAGTCGCATTTAGACCTAGCCTCTGTGGAGGTTTCAGAAGGAGTGGACCGATATTCCCCATCTTCGAATTTGAATTATCAATTAAAAATTTCTGAAATTTGTATTATGGTTTACATAATCCGATTTTAGACATGTCGGTATAGGTCCACTTTTTGGTATGTTTCCTTTATTTTCATTTCTAGTACCTGTCAGTATATCTATGGTGGAGGGTATACAAAGTTCGGCCCGGCCGAACTTAACGCTTTTTCACTTGTTTATATTAAAATAGTTAACTGATTTGTTCCGTGTGTTGGGGTGGTCCCCATATAGGCATGGTACAATTATAAAAGGTAACAGCAAATCCCAGCTGATTTGAACTTCATGAACTTTGGAATTACCAACAAAATATTCAACTCCAAAACTTGAACTATGTCAACCCTTAAATTTACGGTATTTTGGGGCTATTGAGCGGGTTTTCAACCGAATATTCCCCCTCTTTATGGGGTAGTCCCCATATAACCCCTCTTTTTTATATTAAAATAGTTAACTGATTTGTTCCGTGTGTTGGGGTGGTCCCCATATAGGCATGGTACAATTATAAAAGGTAACAGCAAATCCCAGCTGATTTGATTCCAACGTAATACTAGTGTCAATATGCATTTGACAAATTATGTTTTTAAAAATCACCCAACAGGAAAATTGGGAACTTATTCAATTCGAAATTGTTCTTTATTAAATGTCCTCCCGTATTCAATTTACTCAATCTGCCTGCTGGGATCGTTTAAGGAAGCAAATCTTTCTTTAAGGAACAACTCGCTATTCCCAGCATTTGCATATGTGTTACACCTATATATGGCAATGGCTCAATTATAGTAAAGATGTGGAAGCGATAGAAATATAAATTTGATATATTTTCATTCATGTTTTTCAATTTTTATTTTGTGGATTCAAAAATATTTCATTTTCAAAATAAAAATAATTTTATGATAATTTGTTTGTTTACATTTTTCTGTCAAAAGAGTTGAAACTAGTAGAACTTACAACAACAAATTTCTATGTGGTTGTTGTATCGTTTGTTGTACAACAACACTTGCTGTTACCTTTTATTATTATGCCATGCCATATAGGCGTATTCTAACATAGTACGGGGCATATTCGTTACTCGAAATTGTCAGTTTTTACCTTACAAAGTATGGAATTTAAAGTCGATTTTGCCACCTGTGATAATTATTCAGCCTTTAAGGATATCATGATAAAAAAAACTCGAACCTGACGATAATGAAATATATCAGCCAGCATTTAGGCATCTACCCCATATAATGATACCTCCTAAGGAAAAGTATTGAGAAATGTTAATTAAGAAAATGTTTTCATACATTTTCGGCGTTTCAAATTGACACACAAGTAAATAAAGTCCTTGCGTATTTGTATAATACGGACATTCAACGAACCTTATAAAGGTGGAAAGGTGAATATTTTAGCACTCAACGCACAGAATTTAGGTAAGGGCCTTAAAATAATTACTTATTCTCAACTTTATGACTACATGGATGTTATATTGAGATTTAGAGTTTCGTTTCAGAACATAAATTATTCTTCTATTAGTCGAAATTGTTTTCTATTTTCAAATATATTTATTAGTAAATCTTATGGATCAATCCATGTCAAAATAACAAAGGTAGTCTCATTTCGAAAATTCGGATACAACAGTGTGCTTTTTGTACCTGAGCCTGTCAAATAAATACAACCATGCATCTACCTAACATGAATCTTGTTGTTATAAGCTCTGTCTGTTTACTCGATATTTGGTAACAATTGTTACCAAATGTTGCCTGTTTACCCAAAAATCCAGTAAAAGAGAGTCAAGTGAGAGAGCAAGTTTGACAGTTGAATTTTATGCAGTAAGATTTTGCAAACTCAGCCATTTTTGGATCAGCTGTTTTATGACCAAACACAAAAATTATTCAAAACATTTTTTTAATTTGCAAAGTTCAATTTGAAGTTAAGTTGTATAAAAATTACAGAAAATAAAATAAATTTCGTAAGAAGATCAAAGTTTCATTAAATTAGAAACTAATTCCTTATATATTTTTAGGCAAGTTCCAGATAGAGTGCAATGTACTGATGCAGGAAGCTTAAATGTTCCCCAAAACATACCAAATCAATTTTTCTTATATTATTCATTTTATTTTTAATATTAAATGCAATATAAATAATTGTGTTCGTCCTTTGTTTGTTGTTTATTTTGGCGCAAATCAAATGTTTTCTTGAATCAGCTGTTTGTTTGCTAAATCTTACTTAATGTTGTCCGTTTACTTTTTTCAGTATTATCGCAAAAGAGAGTAAGAAAGGCTTACTCTCTGAACTTACTGAATAAATGTTGCTGGAAAAGTAACCATACACACCTTTTGTCTCGATCTTCTGTCAAATTTTTTCATATAATATTTCACATGGTTGGCAACACTGCACATCGAATTCAAGTAAAAATTACCCACTTTGGCAGTTAATCAATAATAAGCTGCGCTAAATAGTTAAACATAAGCTGCCCTAAATAGACTACCTATTCATTGTGCCATGTCCATATCCATATGTTTATCCTTAAAGAATATGGATATTGATATAAGCCACAAAAAAAGGATCGCCTAGCAGAAATGAATCTAAATCACAGGATATTGTTGAAGCAGTCCAGCTTACTCTACCGTTACACCAGAAAGATCTCCAACCGTATTGTGTTAAAAGGTTTTATGAACAATACCAACAGACCACCCATTTCTTTGCAACGCGTTGCTCATTTCTTTGTCGAAAACATAACAGATTATCTCTATTAAACAGGGCCAAAGGATTGTCCATTGGAGTCACCCAAACAGCCTGGTGG